TCTGGAACTACATGATGGAGAGTGACACCAACACGCCTGGAAGGAGGCAATGCTTGTGAGAGGTTTCTTCTGCCACAGGAGACTTTGCTGTCGGTTTGCCTTTGCCAGTGCTATGGGGAGACAGTTTCAGTCACTAGAGCTGTTGGTACGCTGCTTTTTCTTGCAAAACCCAGACAGTGCTAGTCCTTCAAAGGCCAGCAGTCAGAACCCACATCATTAGCTTAAAAACATAATTTTAAAAATTGTGCTTTGAGTGGTTTGCTCTTGATTTCTGGTGCAGGTGCCTCTGAGGAGCTAGCTTGCCAGCTTTGTCTGTAATCCCAAAACCTAAGCGCAGAATTTTTCAAGTGGAGAGTTTGAGGAGGTTGCTTATTCATGGTTGGTTGTTTTGTTTTGTTGGATTTTTTTAAATGAAGATAAGCTGAGTTGGGTTTTTGAGATGCGATCCAAGTCTACGCAGTCCTTCCAGCCGCTGTGGATAAGATGCAGCATTTTCCATAGCAGAGAGCACACGAGGGGGTGATGCAGCCGCTGTTGCCTCCAGCTGCTGGTTCCAGTCCGGGGTCAAAGGCAGGTGTAGCTGGTTCTGACTGGTGTGCCAGTTGTCTTTTTAAGCCAGGTTCACATGTGTGCTTCTGTTCCCTAACGAGACATCTTAACCACGTTGCTAACTGAGAGGCATGACTGAAGAGAATTAAGTAGCTCCTTGATTTTTTTCAGTGTTGAATGCAAGACCCGCGACACATCACAAGCTGCCAGAAAAAGGTCCGTGGCACTTCCAAATTGAATAGCTAACGCTTGTCTCTCTTTCTTTCCCCCCTTTTTTTTTTAATTTGAAGACATTTTTAACATAAATACCACCAAATGGGGTACATGCCCAGTTGCTAGAGCTTTCCTATGGTGCTTTTGTAGTTTCAGTTGATTCAGGAGAGCAACAACCCCCAACTGTGCCCAGGGGAGCAGAAGTGCATGCCTGCCTCGGGCAGCCCCAGGTAACTGAGCTGTGGCTGTTGTGCTGTGCGTTGGCCTGTGCTTAAGGCAGCAGAAAGGCGATGTGTGACAGATCTTGTCATTCTAAGAAAATATTTTTAAGGCTTCTCTTTTTTCCTTATAAATTGCTGCTTGTTCTCTTGGGAAGCCTAGAATAAGAGAGTTGGAGGTGGGGAGAAAAAAAATGTAAAGAAAATAATGCTGTTTATTTCAATGTAGGTGAATATTTCCAGTTCTCCACTGTAGCTATTTATTTGTTTATTTATCTGGCATGTCTGTGAGTAGTTTTATAAAGCTTCTCAGGGAGAAGTAACAGATGAAACCTTCGCCATCTAGAATCATGGCAGTTGTGTGTGTTTTCCTTGCGTTCTGCCAACTGTTGCACCAAGCGAGATGAATTGTCTACTGTCAGCAGATCTCAGTATTGCTTAGGAACTGATCGTCTTGACTGAAAAGATAGTTAGATTTTGCTCCAAGTTATCTGGGCTTTTTTTGTAGTTTTATAGTAATCACAATATATAATAGGGTGTTGAGAATTTCCTGTAGTACTTTGTTGTAAACATTTGTTTGACAGACAGTGTGAATCTTACTTGCATGTCTAGGAAAAGTGTGCCTTGATTATTTTAAAAGGATGATAAAACTTAAGAATCAGCCAGAGACTGAAACCGGCTCAAATCATGAGAGCTACTCAGTTTTCCAGCAGAACATAGTCAGTGTTGAGCAACAGAGGTGGGATTAGCATTATGCTATTAAAGATAAAGGATTTGATGCCAAGAATTGGTGCTTTTAGACAGCGAAAGATGATGTACACTTAATTTTAAGCATTTCTGCTGGTCTATGGGGAGGGAATAAAAGTTTTTAAAAAGCCATAATAAAATCCCTGTTCAGCAGAACAGAACTCAACTATTGATGCAATCTCTGTGTAATGTTTCTGGCCAGGGTTTGGATCTTCTGGGTATGTAAATTGCAGTGTCAGAGTTTAGCTGAGATGTGAGGGGAAAACACTAAAACTCACTGACATGCAAAGTGTTTAGCTGCAGTAGAAAGGAAAAAAACAAAACCAAACTTTGGGAACTAATAGTACATTTTCAAGTACTTGAAAAGGGGAAAGGGCCACTACTCTTTGGAATGAAAGTGCTAGCAATAAAACCCCCCAAAAAATAATGTTTGGCAGCACTATTTTATATTAGCAGTTAGTGATTACTACCTTTAAAGGGTAGAAATTGATCTGAATACGTTAATATCTATTTAAGAGATTGACCTTTTTTTTTAAAAAAAAAAACCCAACAAAACCCTCTCGATTGGATCAGGATCTGACATGCTGAGTGTCTTGGTCCAAGCGCCCTGAAGATCAATGGGATGCTTTAAAAGGGAGGGCAGCAGGTACACATCACCATTTGCTCTTCACTGCTGGGTGCTGTGTGATTACTGTTAATTACAACAGATTTGGAAGCAAGGAGTCACTTTCTATGCCTGCCGAGCATCTCACCTGGAAAAAAAGAGGCGATGATGAACCTTACTCACACAGGTTATTCAGAAGCAGCTGCTGTTCCAGCGATGGCTGCACGCTTCAAAGGCAGTTATCAGAAGAGTCAAGCACCACCAGGTTCCAAATTCCAGCCTGAATTTAAGTGCGTGTTTGAAAATTAATATGTCTGTACTCCTACAGCTGTGATCCATGTTATTACGCAGTCAAAAGCGGCAATTTCTTTTCGGAGAAGGACAGGCATGTCCAACAGCAGCACTGTCCTAAAGGACTGGGTGGGAGAAAGCTCATTTTGTTCAGTAACGGGCCTGTCAGGACTGCTACACTATGATGGCTTCTGTTACTGCCACCAAAAACTGAAGGGGGCAGCTGAGGCAATTCAGCCTCTAAAATTTTGCCAACTTTTTTTTTTAAAGGGTAGCATTTACAAGAGGCACTCTCAGCTTCTGAGACAGAAACACACTTTTGACAGGGAAGTAGCAGTCTGAACCACAGGGCAAGTGTCAGAAGGGCAGTCAGCAGGACATAAATCCTCTGTTCGAGGAAAGCTGGGAAAACTCTACAAAAAGGCTGGTGCTACAGACCTGTGGCAGGTACTTGCCAGCCCTCACATATGGGCATATGGGTAACTTTTGTTCTTTCATCCTTCAAAGATCAATGCAAACCTTTATTTTCTATAAATAATTTAATAAATACTTTTGTTTTACAATGATACAGCAAATAACAAATTCATAGCAAATGAGTCACAAAATTTAGGATCAGTATACTTTAATATGGTATCAGTGTCAAAATACATTTCCTTATCAAGTTAAAGTTCCCATACAGTTATAATATTGTCAATAAGAATTCAGCAATATAGATTATGAAATAATTATGATAAAAAGTATGATTAATATTAAGACATGGAATATTTTTTCAGAGTGTTTTAGTAAACTGTTAGGGTATAACATTTTTAATGCTGAAACTACACAAATATGAAACAGAAGAGCAGTATTCAAGTGTCTTTAATCCTTGAAGCCTTTAAGTCCTTGCCACTGCACATTTGTCAAATCTGGCTTGCCAATTTTCATCTGATTTTGATGCTTCCAATAGATTATTTTCCCTAAGGTAATAACTTCTTTTTAGGAGTAGATATCTTTTGGTAATAAACTCTGGAAAGATTTTTCTACAATAGGGACTACCCTATTTTTTTCACATTATGTACCAACAATGAAAGATCTTCAGCTTTTCTAAGATTCACCTAAGACAGTGAACTCTGAAGTGCTCTATGATCCCAAGCTCCCTCTCTGCAAGTGTCAGTGCATGATATAAAGCAATTTTATAAACTAGGCTTCAGCGGAATCTCAAAAGAATGCACCTTTGTTCTAAGTTTCTGGGCCGTATTTTTACCTTTTGTACATCACCACTGTTCCATTTCCTTCAGTGAAGCTGTGACAATTTACACCAGTGGAGGAAACAAGATGGTACGTCCCAACGTGTATCTAGGTCTGTATACATTTTGAAGTCAGAACTGCTCAGCTGCCTTTTATTACTTTAATAATTTTTAATATTGTTTAAGTATGTTGCAATTTACACTTTCCAATCCCTTTGCCTTTGAAAGCATTCAAAGCCTTATTTTTTTTCAAAATACATGCATGACAACTAATGACAGTTGGAAAGGAGCTCTGCCTTCTTCATTTCAGCTCCTGATGAATGTGAAGCAAGGAAAAATGATAGAGACCTGCCTGCCAGCTATTCAGCTCACTACACAATCCTCAATTCTTTTTTTCTGCTGGTAACTCAGTTAGCCTCATACGCTGGGAAATACTACTTTAACTTCTGGTTTTAACGATTCACTATTGCAATTATATCACTAGCTAGCATATAGAATGAAAAAGGATAACATTAATCAGAGGTGTTAGTACTGGCTGCTGGTCAGATTCCTGAAATATCAAGCAACACTGTAACAGTACTAGTTCTAGCAGAAACAGCTCTTAAAGTTGTGTCCTAGATATAGCAAAAGTACCAAGAGATGATTAACAGCTGACCCAGAGAGAATTTTTTTTAAAAAAATCTGTTTTGTAACAAAAAAAAAAAAGGAAACAACAAAGAACAAAACAAGAGATCTCAACACAAATGAAAACATAGGTCTAAATCCTCCACTGGGGTAAATCTGTCGGATTCCCTTGGCTGTAGAGCTAAGCCAGGTTAAGGCAGCAGCTGAGAATGTGGCTTGCTTCTGAGGAAGAAAAGCTTAAAACGTGCAACTTTCACAGATACCCACAAACACTGCAGTTCACCATTCACATTTCTTTCAATGAAGTGTATAAAAATGGAGGGAAGTGGGGCGGGGGGGAGGCGGAAGGCTTACAATACGATAAATGCTGGAACACAGAAAGACTCAAAGGATTTCAGTTTGGCAGATCAACAAAAAGCTGTGGTTGGAGATCAAATTTGTTTCATTCATCTTTGGCAATAAACATAAATCTTTGCAGTTCTGCAGCCAAAGTATCCATCCCATGATGAGGCCTTTACACCACAGCTTTTTATCAGCACAAAATTTGAAGAAAATTTCAGTATATAAATTACAGGCACTGAGATAAGGGGAGGGTATAATCAAACTCTCTAAACAACACTTTAATTGCAATAGAGAAAATACAGTAGATGTATTTCTTTAATATGAATAATAAAGTGAGTAACTTCAAAAGGCCACTATTTGGTAACGTGGACATGTTCAATATCTAAGTAAAATCCTGTAAAAGTGTATTGGTATTAGAAATTGTCTACTTGCAAAAATATATTTAAAAAGTGAAGCTGTTTTGAACAGTGTAGGCCACGGAATATTGCAGGATCGCTCAGGTTGCCTGGTCCAGTGCTCTGAGCAGTTCACTGCCCTGCAGAAGTGTAGAGCTGCCCAAAACGGGGACGTTCACCTCACAGTCATATCTCGTCAACTCGGGCAACAAGTAGGGTTCAAAGGAGGGCCCCAGAAGGCGACTGGTCATACCTGGAAGAGATTAGTTAAGTAAGTGAGTCCCGGCACCGTGATCAGAGAGACAGACTTCTTTCCTCTTCTCCCTCTTTTCTTTACACCAGTTACGGCTTCATTTTTTGCTTCTGTCAACATACCTCAAACCACCCGCGGTTACAGGTTTCGGAGCAGACCTACACATTGCTCTGCCTTAAGCTGTTGGAAGTGTTGTCACATGGACATGTTCAGATTTTCACCCTCCACCCCCAATTTAGTTTGTTCTGAGAAAAATTATATGGGTTCCGATGAAGCAAGCTGTAGTAAACAACAGTTTCTAAACCAACACCCACTCTTCTTATATATTAAGAGATATATAGATGTGCCCTTTAATTACTTATTTTAATTTTTTAGAAGGCACATGTTGAGATTCAAACCTACAAACCGCCCGTATCAATGCTGCAGTGAAGTTAGTTTAGTACACCTGAAGTTAGTTTAGTACACCTGAAGTTAGTTTAGTACACCTGAATCAGTTCCATCACAGGATGAGAGTATGGATGGAGGATGATTGGACCACCAAGGTAAAAAGGTATTAAGTTTAACCAAAATGAATGGCAAAAATATTTTTTCCCCTCGTATAGTACAAATGTAAACATTAAAGTTCCCCACTAAACAACTGAATGAATTTTTCATTCTATGAAGCAATATATATACGGTTGTTAGTTTACCATCCTCATCTGTGTCTTTTCCTTTCAAGGAATCAGTATTGGAACTAAATACCAACATTTTTCAATTTCAGTATTTGAAAGCTCTTACCTGACGCTTTATGAGTTGGCTGGACACAATAGTCCTGACAATGGGAACTGTAAAATGGAAGGGGAAACGCTCCTGCTTTCAAGTTGTCACCAGGACTGCCACAGGTGGGTTGTTGCTGCAGTTGATTCATTGGTTGGCTCAGACCTCTCGAGTTACAGACATATTCATCTGATTTACATAGTAAGGAAGGGAAAAAAAAAGGTTACGCCCATGTAATAATTACAGTAGATAGTATTATTTCAAAGCAAAGTGCTCCTTGGAATGATGGTCACGCAGTGTAGGCATACTGACATCTTGTCACAAGGGAAGTCCAGGAACAGCACTAGCTCTAGAAATGGTGCTGCACCCAAGGTAGGCTTCTGCAAGGAAGCACACTGTTGTAGAGGGAAAGGGTCAGCTCTAGCTCTGAGATGTCCACACCTTGGATCAGCACGAGGTAAACCCATCTGTTAAGCCAGTCTCTGTTACCTCCAAAGCAAGGGTGGGAACACAGATGAAGCCATCTATCTGCTAGTGATCAAATGTACCTTGATTGTTCAGCTCTTGGTGCTACAATCTGATCTTTAATTTTAGCTTAGTGTAATATTTACAGAGCCCATTTACATTTCCTTTTGGAAGACTATTTGTTTCTATTCAATTTGTCTTAAAATTGTGTTTCAATACATAATATGGCAAACCTGCTTTGTTTTATCTTACCAGTAAGAACACTAGTGCTGAGAGACTTCTTTTCTGTAACCAAGGAACAGTTTTCCCCTTTGAGAAATTTCATTCTCTTCCACATTAGGTGAGATGGGTTAATGACAGATGGATCTCCCTAGAAGGTGAAGAAAAGCAAAACAAATAACTACACCCTGATGACCACGGTAAGCCTGAAGTTGTGAAGGGGATGCAGTTCTTTTAATTACCCCACTCAGCTGTTGCAACGCTTGTTCTTCATAATCCAGTTGTCTTTTCAGTTTCAAACTGTTAGACAGAGCAATTCTTGCTGGGTTTACGTCTATGCCTCGTCGCCCAAAAGCATCCAGGGGCCTGTTGAGAAAGGATCTCTGGGTGATCGAGCAGGGAGACAAATCTATACAAATTTCAAACAGATTATCCTTTCGTTAAAAGGCATTTAAAGTGTCTTTGACACGTGGCAGCGGACAGACCTCAAACATCAAATGCTTTTATTTCCTTTTGTTAGTCATCCCACACGCTTCAGAAATTTTTGACTTTTGGGATCAAAGACTTATGAAAGTCAAACATAAAGAACCTCTAGGGATCTCCAGGCAGACATAAAAATGCTATGGAAAAGATATTTATGCGATTTTCAAGGACTGGATTTTGAGAGCCACCTCCGGCCCCTTCCTTTGCATATGAAATGTGAGCACACATGTTGCTGCTTGGGGATAAACCCTCTCTTTCTAGATGCCTATTCAGACACTGATATTTCTGCCAACAAGAAATCCCAGAAATCAAACTGCAGTTAAACAGCAGAGCTTCATGTTTTAAAATGACCATTGCTATTTTCTGTACTTCCTGAATGTTTCACTGTGACCAACACTGAAGACCGAAGAGCTGCAGAGAAACTTCTCCCTACAATAAGAAACTTCTATGAGTTCAGCCTCTGATCTAATCTCATCATTTAACACATATGAACAGTAAGAAAGTGAACAAGGGGAGGAATGATTGTCGAAGCAAAGCCTGTCATTTTAAATCTTAGTTGTAGCATTTATGTATGGCAACAATAAATGTACTGACATCCTTCCCTCTCCCCTTGTTTTCTGCTGTGCAAAAAAAATATGCAAGGTGAGAAAGTATGCATGGGTCCCAGCTTACTGCTAGACTGGTAAGCCTTCTGCAAAAAGACAAGCAGGCTTTGCAAAGTTAGTGGAGTCATTTTTACCTCAACAGCAGGAAATCCTTTCATGCATCCTCACAGGCAATGAAAAATTAACCTGCCTCTGCCTCCACCAGACTGACTGCCACTGGGAGAGCACCACACTTATTTCCCCAGGGGTGCAGTCTGGTGACTATCAAAACAACTTATTCCAGCTGAATTGAGGGAAAAGACGAATTTTTCAAGATTACGACCCTCCTTACCCCTCAAAAATCTTTTCTGAGTAGAATACAGACTTATGCCACAAAACCTCTTACCTTTTTTTATATATGGGCACGCTTGGAGAATGTACTGGTGGCCCTGAGGAGGAACTTGATAGGGATCCTGAGTATTTATCCATGAGTCTCCATTTAGCAGGAAGATATTCTAATGGGGGATCAGGTGGCCACTGGGTGTTTGGTCTTCCTCCCTTTGAAGACAGGGGAGTGCTGCCTTGGTCACGGTACGGTGGCAGTGATGACCTACTCATATTGTTGAAGAACACCGATGACAGGGACTCGTGACCAGGATTAATGTTTCTGTTTGATAGCTGTGGGCAATATTTCTCTGGGAGGAACTGATTCTGTGAAGCAGAAGCAAGGGGTTGGAAGATGGTGCTCATGCTACTTAGACTCTGCTGGGTGTTTTGTGCACTTTCAGAGAGAGGACGTTCTTCTTGGCAGATTGGGCTGAGCTGGAAATCTTCTCCATCCATAGGAATGTAAGGAGCCAGGGTTTCAAGGTCCAGTTCATTGAAGTCAGTCTGCACAAAAATAAAGTCAGTTTATAAAGAAGCTAGAAGTTAGTAATAGTTGTGGCAGTTAGTGTGATGTTGAATACTAGTAGATGTGAACCTAAAAATCATCTCCATGAAACTGGCCGGCTCATATTTAAAGATGTCTTATTTCTATGACTAGCACACGTTCCTCCTACCATCAGCAGCAAAGACAACAAGCTGAAGAAAACAAAGTCCCAGATCAGCATCATTTGTTAAAGCAGCTTGTGTGCAGCCTGCAACGTCACTGTGATCTGAAGTAGATCTTGTGCTTCATTACACTTTGCATATCTCGTCTGTCACGACTCTACAGCGTGCAGCATGTAGTTCTACCTCACGTTGTTTTGTGTTAAAATAGAAAACATAGCTTTCTCATAATCCAGCTAAATTAAAAAAAATGTGTCCAAAAATTGAAAAGTTCTTAAAAAATGTAGTTGGAAGGACACTACTGGGCTTAAATCTGTAATTTTTTTTCTCCCCTTGGAGGACTGCTTGTATTTAAATTCATTTCTTGTGGCATTTGACCAGAGCTGAACAGAGAGGGAAACCAGTGTTGGCCCACCAGGCAGCACATGACAGGGCTGCTTTTCTAATACTCTTTTTTTCCCCACCAGAGTTGATGTGGTGGGACACAGCTGCACAAGCGGTGCTGAATCTGACAAAAGTGAAGTTTGCACATGTCAAGTGTTGCACCGAGTTTGCTCCTGATCCACCTTTTCCTCTTATCTGTCTGCTCTCTTTCTATTGCTTTCATTGCTGTTTCTATGCCCAGGCTTGGGAAGGCTGTAGTCCATGTCCTGAAGAAATTTCATCTAAGTCTGCAGCTTGCACTGGCAAACTGAGGCACCTCATTTGGGCTCTAGTCACCCCAAACTTTCCATAGGAGGAGATGAGTCTAAGGGTTGAGCTGCCAGCCAGTGATGCCTTGTTTCTTTCTCTTAAAGAAGTATAATAAGCTCTTAACAAAAGCATTTCACCTAAGTCTCTACAGTTAGGTGGGCTGAATCAGGCCTACACCTTTTGTTCACTACTTCACTTGATGTTATAATAGTGGAGGATTAAGAGAGTTACCTATAAAGGGAATTTCTACATTTATACCCTGATTAGAATGCAGGAGAGGGAGACTGTATTTTACTGCATGTGCAAGTAGTTGTCACACCTCCCCGAAATCCTCCAAGAGGTAACACAAGAAGAATATACCCAAAATGATAGTTTTAATTTTGTACCTATAAATGACATATGTGCAATGAGGGGCATTCCTTTCTCATTTTTACATTTGGCAAGAATTATTTATATTTTATTCTAGAAAGTATATTTACTCACTAGTCATTAGGCTAGATTTAAAAAAAATGTTGCTGCTTATACTCCTTTTCTGGTCTACAGAAGCTTCCAAATTCTGAAAGCTCTTTGATGCTTCTTTCCTCTTAGTAGTGTCTTTGCAGTGACACCCTAAAGCACTTGCTTCAGTGAGCCAGGGACAGAAATTTACACCCCAGCTTTTGAAAGTGCATGTTGCATTTTTTTACTGTGCTTCAAAGCTTTGGTGTGTATGTGCAAATGCAGTTTGCATGTCATATCAAGATATTTGCACATACAGCATGCACCTGTACTACCTACTAGCAGGGGACTGACTTTTATGGCTTTTGGAAGAAACATTAGTTCCTTACCTGAGAGGTACACTGACTTTTTGATTCTGTGTCCATGGCAAAAAGTTTCTCAATCATCTCAATCTTTAGATCATCATCCATAGAACTGTAATAATCTCCTGGGCTGCTTGGCTGTGCAGAAATAAGAATTTGCTATAAGCACTGAGACACTCAAAATATTGGCTTATCATCATGCCATTTATACTGTACTCTTCAGTGGCAGATCTTTCCTACAAAAAGCAAATGGCCAGACTCTATATATAGTGTCCTCAGAACCAAAATTGGCCACTTATGTCATGTGCTTTTCTCCAACATCAGATTGCTTCTCACTACACAATGTAGGTACCCCATATAGGAACCTAGTTGTTTTCTTAGTTTAAATGCTTTTTTTAGTAACTCAGACCACAAACACAAAATGTACACTGTTAAATGCAATACCGCAACATCTTTCTGAAGATTGGACATTCTCTAGTAAAAGCTGGCTAAGAGTGGCTCCAGCGCTTGGGGGTAATGCCCCGAAGGCACATTCATTCTTTCAGAGTGGAACCCCATGGAGCTGCTCTCAAAAAACCTGAGCTGGGAAAGCTTTTTAAAGACTATACCTTCTAGTCAACAAACAGGAAGAGGATGGATCTGGGGCAGCATTGCTAGCAACCACGCCATTTTACGCTGGCTTCTTATTGAAGGCTAATTCTATGGAAGGTGATAGCATGGTCTTCTGCGAGTTATAGGTTGTTGTAATTACTGAGGGACAGCTGGGAGAAAACGAGGATTGCAATGTAAAGGCAGGATATACTTCCCATTTGATGGTTTTGCTACTGATGCTTAAGATATGTGCAGTACAGGAAGGATATGGCTACGCTGGACCTTGTTAATGAGCGATGAGGCAGGACTGCTAATGTGAAAACATCATCTACATATATTGATAAGGCTTACATACAAAACATAATATGCAGGTTTTTTAAAGCTCTTCTTACCGTGGAACAGCTGCTGTTGCTGCTTGCACTGGGAGTACTGCTCCCAGGTGCAATCTGAGGCATTGTAAAGGATGGTATCGTCAGTGTTTCACCTTGAGAAGTGTGGCTTTCCACTTCCACTGGCCACCCTTTGTTTGATGTCACAACAGCACTGGCATAGGCAGGGGCTTCCTCAAACTTCGGTGTCTCTGGATGGAGTTTTAACAATATTAATGAATGCTTTTCGCTTGTGCTGTGTTATGATATAATTGCAGCTATTCATTAAAAGTAAACACTGCTCCTAGTTGCCATGACAATAAGTTGGCATAGACTTAATGCATGTTGTTTAGTCATCAAGAAAGCCTGGTTCTGCTCTCATTCACAGAAATTTTCCACTGGTGTGAGCACGTGGGCGCTTATAGCCATTACTCCTCATTTGTACGCACAGCAAACAGACCTTTTCTATTAAGCTTCTGAATGTAGGCTCATACGTGGCTCTCTGTTGCACAAAAATTATTTATACAAACACTAACCAAAATCCAGGGAAATAATGGCATCACCAGGTGTTGGTGCCAGCTGAGCAAGTTCCTCTGGTTCCTCCTTTAACTTAGTAAACAAGAAGTTGCTCTTCTGAATGCCGCTCTCGTAGGTGGTGCTCATTGTCAGCAGGTGAGGCTTGAAGAGTGATTCTGTTTGGTCCATGGAGAACACGATGTCATTCTTCTCAATTTCACTAACAAGAAAACAGGTTTTAGGCATTTTACGTTCATTAAAAGAAAAAAAAAAAAGATGCGAGTAATGTAGGCAGTACGAAGCCTCTAAAGCTGGGACCCGTACAAGCGTTTTGGCCTCTCTCGGTCTCACGCCAGGCTCTCAACAGGCGAGGCACGGTTCCAGCGTTGCCGAGCACCACCATGTCAGATGACGCAGAGAGTGTGGTCAGGACTTCTGTGGGAATACTCGGGGCTTTGTTGCTCTGCTTTTTAAAAGGATGTAGTCGAGCTATAATGACCCAGACTATCACTGAAATAAGTATTTCCTACTTTGGCCCCATCTCGGACCAAAAATACTCGAGTTGTGCCAAACGGAGGCAAAGCTCCTGATTGGTCCTGATTTTTGAGGTGGTAAACGGCTTCTCCTAGCAACATAAGATACAATTACTACTTAATTTCATCTCTTTATCACCGCACTAGAAAACCAAAACACATTAGCAGTCGTGTTACACAGTAAAATCTTCAGCACAGCAGCCACTCTGCACGAGAGAAAGGCTGGGGTGAGTTTCACCAGCGTGTAGGGGAACAGGCATGCCACATTTGTCATCAATGTCTAAGATCAGTAAACAAGACCAAACAAACACGACTAAACCAATGTCAGAATAACCACACTTAATAAACAGACCCCTCAAAGTTCCACCGATTACCGCACTTCTTCCAGCGCATGAATCCGTAACGCGGATTTTCTGTCCCATATGACTTACCTGAGCACGTAGTTGACACAGACGATGCACTGAGGCTGCAGGTTGCGAGTGTTGTAAATCACTGTCCCTTGAGTCTCCAGCCACACGTATCCCCCGTGCTTGGCAAGCATACGGTACTGGCCTGTCACTACTTGACCTTTTGTACACACTGAGAAAAGGGGGCAGAGAGATATAAATAATGCAGCAGGACGGGAACACACACCATGTAACGCTTGTTTTAAATAAACCCCCTTCTGCATTTTCGTTATGCAAAACTGCATCAAGACGTTTGTTAGCAAGGATAACTTCGGAAAAATCAAGCGTTTCACATAGAAAAAGAGGTTGCTCATTTGAGCCTTTCACTTAAGATTGGAAATTTGAGTTCTAGAGACAGTCTGAGTGCTCAGATCAGTGTGGGATTTTTTAAAATTTAATATAAAATCCCAACTGACCCCCAAATAGTGCCTGTTGACTGCATTTTTCTTCACAGTCTCTTTTCTAGAAGTGCCTCAGCGTGGGCTCCCAGGTTGATCTGTAAAAAAGTGAATTTATTCAGGAAACTATCTAGTAGTTTCCTTATTGAGGTGATGGTTAAGCCCAAGAGTCAGATGGTTTAAAAATTGTACTCACAATAATAATAAAAAATATCTGGTGGTTTAAATCTATACTTTTTTATACCTTGGATTTCAGAGTTAGAGATATCAACACCACAAATAAAGTGAAGGTGGCACTAGCACAGCAGTGGTCTGAAGAAGTAATATCACTCTAAAAAGCATCAGAATTAAAAACAGTAAATGGGACTGTTTTGCCTAGGAGAAAAAAACTAAAGCTGAACTGCTGCATTTCTCTGTCTGCTCGAACTGTGCTGTTCCTCTGCAATGACTTGAAATTGCCAGCCAAGAAGGAACCAAGGACCCATGCAACAAATCAAATCACATTTACTCTAAATGTTTGGGGGTTTTTTAACTCTAAATATTTTTTTTAACTTGCCTATCTTTCTCAAGCAATAAAAGTACAATAGTACAACTCAAGTTTAAAGATGTTTGAAGGATGATATCCCTGCCTCCCCTCCAATATTTTTTAATATTTGAAGAGAATGAGTTTTCAGTGTGGAGCCTTGGACTTCTGAGATACAAAGTTTTATGATGTCCTGCCTGTTGTAAATCCTTTCCTAAAAGCAATGAATGTTGTCAGGCAATTCATAGTTGTCAGTTGAGGAAAAATACTGTCCATCAATGGCAATAAAATTAGGGCTGGAGTATGGAAGCCGTAACCCTACTAATAAGGGTTTGTATTTGTAAGCAGATATAATCACACCGAGAAGCACAAGCGGGAACTGGCTCAACTAAGCCTTGGACCACACTGGAAACCTTTCATCTTAAGCAACTTTTACACTGGAAGACAGTATGCCAGCAAATTAATACCCTAAAAATAATGCAATTTGTCTCAGTAAGGCTGGAAACTTGATTCTGCAGCCTTTGTGCAGAAAAATGCCTTGTGAATGCAGCCATTAAGAGAAGCTATTTATTGTCAGTCTCTCCTACATCGTCACTGTACGAATGCACAAATCCAGGCCTGTGCAACAAACAAATGTTTTGCAGATAATTGTTGCTGTGTTTATCCTTCTATCTCTGAAGTTTGTTTGTTTTCTTCCTAGGAGTATTTAATCATCCTTCATTTAATTTATTTAGACAAAGTAGAACATTACTTTTATTGATTAAATACTTCTGGTGGAACAAAATCAAAAGGCTTTCATTTCAAAGTGTTTTAGTGACTGGACTGTTCTGCTCTGCTTGTGAAACATAATTACACTGCTTCCTAATCATCAGCTCATCAATAAGAGTCACAGTGTAGGCGCCTGTTACATTACAAAGAAGCTTGTTACTGCTTTAATCTTTTTTATTATTATTATTCAAAGCATGTCATGTTCTGATATAATAAAGTACAGCAGACTCCCTCCATGGGGTAATCTCATAAATTACTAATACACTCGTAACTGCTGACTTTGTTATCAATGCTGCACTTAAGGTTCTGACTTCAGAGTGAACTTCTCACTTCTCTCTCTGTTTTTTTTTAAAGAAAGTATATTTTACCTGTACCTTAACAGAAATAGTCACATCTCAATCAAATAGGCTCCAAGTACAGTCCTCATCTTTGGGTAGCGAAAGGGGGAAGGCAGGGATGGATTTGATTGAACACAAAACTAGTTTTTTTAGTTGCTGAGACACACTTGAGAAATGCGATGCACTTGGAAAGCTTGTCAGACTTGTGCTACGCCCTGCCAAGTGGCAGGTCCCACATGGTGACATTCAGCTCCTCACTGAAGTCAATAGCAGAATTCCCATTGGCTTTAATGGCAACAGGACCAGATTCTAACCAGAAGCCATTATAGATTATTAATTGCCGAATTGAAAGAGAGAGCTCTACAGTCAATTTTTTTGTGTAGATTTATGTAATGAGACGGAGATTTTCATCTTGCTTGCGTAACATGTGAAAAACTGGATATGCTAAATACTGCCAAATGCACTCTAATCTTCCACTGATGGTGACTAATTAAGGCTTTTTCGCTCTATATGCAACTATACTTCTAGCCAAGAACACAAACACTATTGTGGCTAGCTTAAATGTGAGGTTATTATTTCACCTCAAGAAAAAAAAACCAACCCTGAAGTACAGTAAGACTGCAATAAGCATGATTTATCACTAAATTAGAAGGGAGGAAAGGAAAGTAAAGGAGTTCTGCTTCTATCCAAGAGACTATGAGATTTTTCTCCCTCTCTTCACCTCTTCAAACTTCAGTCGCTTTCCTCTATTTCCTATGCACCTTTGCAACACTAAATGGTTGGCACCATCAGAATTGATGATTGTATTACTGCATGAACAGGTACTCTATATATAGCATATTTCTAATTAAAAAAAATATTGTTCAGTAAATACAAGTGTGCTGAACATTAGTTTTGAGGTGGATATTTCCATGTATAAATGACCATGGCCAGGGAGAACTAATAACTTCTCTACAGCTACATGCTAGGAAGAGCTAATAAATCCTGTATAAGCTGTATACCTGCTGTTGACCCTGTGCCTCGGACAACGTCTCAATGGCACACATTATGAAACTTGGGGATTTCCTATTTGGAGGGCTCATCTGTGTTTTCCTAAGTCGGAGCTTGCTGTCACCTTTGTGGTTGTTCTCCAAGTTGGTAAGAAGCCTGACTGTCCCAGAAGACACAGGAAGAATTTATCTTAGTAAAAGCTAAAGAGGTCAAATTTGCTGGTGATATAAACTGATGGTTCTGTTGTGTGTGACAGCATTTATCACAGCACGGGCTTTGGTCCTGTGCTCCAAACAATAAAGATCATCATCCATGCTGATCCTGTGCTATCACCAACACTATGGAACAGCTTGATCTTAAATAGTTATAACCTGCACAGTGTCTTGAGCACTTTTGCTGGTATAACTCTCTCCTCTAGACTTCCCCTTGCCTTCATTCTGCTTCTTGATCAGTCCTGATGTCCAAAAGAAAAGATTTGTAGGACATGATCCTTTTCAGTAGACACAAATGGTATCTAGACATACCCTCTGCACTACATAAGGTGAACTGAGTTGCTAGAGTGAGAGGCAACCTCATTCGACACCTTGTCAAGATAGATACTAGAAACTCTCCATAAATCTTTACATGGACAAGTCCCAGTTCACTGAATCACAGAATGTTCAGGGTTGGAAGTGACCTCGAAAGATCATCTAGTCCAACCCCCCTGCCAGAGCAGGATCACCTACAGTAGGTCACAAAGGAACGCGTCCAGGTGGGTTTTGAATGTCTCCAGAGAAGGAGACTCCACAACCTCCCTGGGCAGCCTGTGCCAGTGCTCTGTCACCCTCACAATGAAAATGTTTTTTCTAATGTTTTGGTGGAACCTCCTGTGTTCCAGCTTGCCCCATTTTAGTGGTCCTGTTTAATTAACTAGGTGGGGATAACCAACAAAGGCTCACTCTCTCTCCCCTGTTACCAAACAGATTGCCAGCTCTTATTTCATTCCCTCCCTGGTGTTGTCCCATTCTTAGAAATGCAACTCAACGATTCAGAAGCAGTGGTGTAGCATCCCCCCTGATAGCTCAGGATGATGTTCCATAACCCAGCACAGGATAAACACATCCTGTCTATGAATATCACTAATTCCTTTTCACCATTAAAAACACAAAACACATTACCTAAGAAAAAAATTTAACAAATACATTCCCAGACAACTGTCTGTAAGTACGTCTTGATTTCTTTTTTTCTTATAAGCAGCTCTGGAAACAGGATGATTCATAACAATGCTGTTTTACAGCACACAGTTTTAAACACTGCCAAACATTCTTTCAAGTAACATTTCAACTCAAAACCAATCCTGGATCCTTGCCCTCGGAACTACCACATATTCCCTTTTCCCCTTAAGGTCAGACAGTTATTCTTTGCTCCTCCTTTTCTCTGGAAGGTGCAGAAATCCTTTCTGCAATCTATTTGGTGGGTAGTTCTTGAGGTAGCCACAAGCTGTGCTTTATGCAGGAACTATGAGGAAAAAGAAGAATATGACTTACAGTTCTGGTGACTCTTGGTCATACTCTCAGAGTCCAAGGCATGGTAGAACTCATACGCCGAACGGCCCAGCAGCTCCTCTGGATGGTATCCAATCAACTCTGTTATTCTTGATTAAGAAAAAAAACCCCAAATATTTAAAATTCAAGTCACCTTAGCCTTATGCTTAAATGTGCAGGGTAGGTATCAGTTCTAGCTCTTAGATTAACAGAATTAAATCCACAGTATGAGAAATTTTGAACTTCTGAACACATCAGGAGCTGTGGAGGACTGACAATCGTGTTCTGAAATATTTCTATGCTCAGAATAAATTGTCTTTTCCTGTTACTGGAATAAAAATTTCCCAGGGTTGTCATTGTGTGCACTGCAAATTTACGAGGCCTAGTGTACAGTGTCTCTTACAGAAGGTCTCAGCTGGAGAACCATTGCTGATAAAGTTCTCAAGCTCTCCACTACATGCAGAAACTCCCAACATACACAGAAGGGTTAAATCGCTACTTTGGGCGTTGCATTTAATAAAATAAAAATGCAAGGTGAGAAATTAAGGGCACTTAAAAAAATCAGCTCTTCTACTTAGTGCTTCTCAATTATATGAGAACTTTAGCATATGGATTAGGTTACTTGGGTGACTAATCCACTAACTAAATAGGATTTTACACAAAGAAAGGTATGATCTCAAAAACTAGATTTTTTTCAGAGTCTTTCTGAGTACTCAGGCAAGGCAGGATTTCTCACAAGTTCCTGATTAAATGAAAATAGGTCACCAAACTCTGCAGATGATTTTCTCTAATGAGAAGGTGGGGGAAAAGGCTTCTTTTTTCCTAAATTCAATTTGAAATACCATCACACATAACTTTACAGGAAACACAGCTAGTTTAAAAAAAAATCCAAAAATCAAAGGTACAAAATCTTCTGGGAAATAAGGAAATGTTTCCCAAGCCAACACCCCTCTCAGATGCCTTTTCCTAGCTTTTAAACTGCAGTAACAACATGTAACACGGCAGAAACGACTCAGAAGCTGACTGCTAAGCTGCCACAAACCTCGAAAAGCCAGGAGGTTTGGAAGGAGTGGTCACATCTCGTACTACATGGCTGCCATCAGCAGCAGTGCTCAGGTTTTATGCCTCATAACTAACTCCCTTGGAAAAGCTTTATCTGCCGCCACCACATTTGGTGTGCGGCGTTGCTACTTTCAAGACACACGTCCTCGGGTTTGTGTACTCCCTGGAAGACCAGCCTTGGCCCAGCCCTGCAGACACAAGCACGTCTTTACAAGACAGACATGTAAATACTGTAAAACAAACAGAGCAAGAGCATGGCCTTCGTCTCCTGGATCCCCCTCCAGCAAGGAAGACACAGAAGATGGAGCTATTTTGTGTATGGTGTGAACGCCAAAGCGTTGAGTCAGCTTTTCCCTCGCCTCTGCAGAACTGCACAGCTCGTACCCCCGGGACATCCAGGGTTTTGCCACTCTGAAAACTACTCTCTGTCCTGATTTCCATGGAATGAACCTGGGTTTATAATGGTTTAGTTGAGCAAAGACTGTAGTTGGTTTTATTAGGTTCCCCCAAAGATCTACTCTTTCTATGTTTACAGTTATATTAATGCTTTCACTTAGATCTCCTTTAGGAGAAATTCTTGGATTGGGTTTCAGAGAGTCACTTTTTTGACTTTCACTGACAAGCTTCTGAGCTTTTGAATTATACCCAAGTCAAATCTCTGAAACCATGAAGCAGAACTTCCCAAAATTCCCATAATGATTTGGCTGACAGAGCTGAACGACCAGGAGAAAACAACAGATACAGAAGGAGCCCTAATAAAAGTAATGCTCCCAAAATACAGTTGCTGCTTGCCCTTACGCAGTCAGCTTGGACACATTAGTGTAAGTGGCCAGGGTGTTTTGCCAGGACCAGTGTAAACACGCAGTCTTTAAAAACAGAAACTATGGCCTTCGGTTATATAATCGCGGAGTATCATAAGACCGCCCCGGTTAGTTTGGAGCTCATCACAAGGAAAAAGAATCAGGAAGCTGAGGATATTCTCTTAATGCAGTCATTGGCAGCTGAGAATCAAGTGGAGGATTGAGCAGAGAGAAGGAAAAGGAAATAAAGATAATGGGGGGGAAAAAAAAAAGCAGCACCGATGCAAATCCAAACCCACATTACAGCCCTCATGGGCGTCAACAGTGGAACTGAAACAGCGAGCAAAAAAAATGCTCTACAGCAGGCTGAGGGACTCTTATCATATAGGAATTTCAATCTCAGTGCAAAATTGTCTGTTTCAGCCCTGTAATTCCCCTCTTAAATTGCTCTTCACTGTTCAGAAGGAGCGCCCTCACTGTAAAATTACTCTTCTTGTCATTCCATGGCATGGAACGACTTGTGGTGTGATCTTGCTGTGACAATGACAAATTTAATTAGATCTAATGCTAACTTTCATCCAAGATTACAAGTGGTGGGTTGGTATCTTTTTACTACAACAAACTCAAAAGAATTCAGAAAGGTAAAAATAAGATATCAAAGAATTACCCACAAACCCCACCACACTGGCGAAATTCTGAACCCACGCCTGGCATCAGTGAAACACTTACCAAGAGTAATTGTTTTAAAATAGTTACTTCTATTCTTTTTTCTATTTTTAAATGGCTAAGCAGTCTCTATGTCTTGTTAACTGACCTGTTAATCTGCTACAGCTGGGAGCCCCAAGAGCACTTGGGCCAGGAGGCAGCCAAGGTCCCCGTGCCGACCTCAACCTGTGCCTCGCTTTGAAGTTCGCCAGGGAGGTGCACCCTCCAAACTCCATGTGCTTTCCACAGGGGCCTCTTAGCAATATGAAAAGCCAAGCAAATAGGCAGAGGACTAAATGCAAAGGAAAAAGCACCCTACAGTGGTAGGAGGAAGAGGAGTCCATAACTAAGAGTCACAGAAATGTATATGCCCCGTGGGACCAAAGGGTCATTTACAAAACCGAGTCCAGGACACGAGATTTCTGCTCAGACACCAGACAGAAAAAACTGCTCTTTTTGCAGGCTGTGGAATGACAAAATTGGAAAATAAACTGTACAGTGGTTTTGGATGGCATTCATGCCATGGTAGGCTTTGTGTTTCCTTTGCATTTGTAAAAGCTAAACTGGTGCTAATTAGAAGGATAAGAGTACTTTTTGTTGAAGAAGACAGGAGGGCTGAGAGGCTGTTTATTCTCCTGTTAACCACCCATTTCTGAAAACACAAATACCTTTGGGGGAATCTTAATTTTGCCAGACTGGCACTTCAGTATTCTGAGCTAAACTTGTAACCATGACATACTGAGGTCAAAATCTGAGAAAACACAGTAAGGAGGTGGGCAGTAGCCCTCCGCAATAGTGGGCTACTCAGATGCTTTTTGAGTACTGCTTCAGTTTCTCTTAATATACCCATTTCTTGGGATGTGGAGTAAAGCAAACATTTTGTGCTTGGGGGTACGCAACAGAGAAACAAGCGATCTGAATCTTATTTCTAGATTTGCACAACTTTGCCCTAGATTATTTCTTTGAGACATAGCAAAAGAAACAAAGCTCACTCCTTCAAAGGCTACATCTATGAGATGAGCTATTTCAAGTGCTTTGGTCTTTCTTAAGATTGTGTTTCTCTGCCTCTTTACAGGAGCACAAAGCTTTTTACTGTGTACCATTTCTTGAGTTAAAATAGTATCATAGGAACCATCGGGTCTGAGAAGTCAGGCTCTTTGTGAAAGACTGCTGTAATGTTTACTGCTCATAAAAAAACCCTGGGTGTGTATTTGTTAGGCCGTGTGTGGACCATGTGTGAGGGTGTGGATCTCTTAACAAAGTCTTTCTGTATTCGAACTGTTAAACCGGTCTTGACAGGAACAAACAAACAAAGTTATACTTAAAGTAAAATGAGTTAAAAAAAAGGAGGAAAAAAAAGGGGGGGGAAAAAGCCCAACATAGCCACTATGCCTGGGATAAAGCACTCTGCCAGCCTGCTAGCGCAGGCAGCAGGGCTGCGTGACAGTCCTGTCAAGTACTCACACTTCCTCTTGAAAATTCATGGCTTCTTCTACTCTAACTCAGGCCAATGAAAACTATAAAGTGCAAAATTCTGGAACTACTGTCCCCTCCTCAGAGAGACAGGTGGTCCAGTCAGGTATATCTGCCCTGCTAGGCAAAAAATCTACATGGGTACATGAAAAACTTCATCAGGACTGACTCTTTCCTAGTCAGTTGGTCTATCTAAATCAAAGTTCCGTTATTAACAAAAGAAGATGGTCACATTTTTCTCTTAAATACGACATATACAAAAAAGCCAGTTTTGCCAAATGTGGATGCTTTGCCTTCCGATATTGTTACTTCACTGTTGTCTCCAAACTGCATTTTCCCTCTGAGAAGGGATGGAGGGACAGGAGGTCCTTTCAAACAATTATTTGCATTCTCACCTAAACTAAAAATATTCCCCAAATACAGGTCAAAAGTAAACTGACTTAATCCTCTTGTAAGGTGCTGTGCCTGAATAATTGTGTTTTACAGGGACATGACTGGAAGCACAATAGACTCAGTTTCTTCTCAGTCGGGCACAGCCTGGATCCCACACTGAAGTGCCAGGGCCTGAATCGTAGGCCCTGAACTGAAGCTGACCTATAGATGAACCTCACAAACCCACACTACATAGTACTAATGGCACACAGTATTAATCACATATGTAATGTATTGATAATCTATTTTAGCATATATATATATATGCTTTATATATATATATAAAGCTTTGCTATAACACTAAATGTGCAGGGGGAACTAGCAGAGTGATCTTTCTTTATCTAAAAGCCACGTGCAAGGCTGGGAAATGAGCTGCCTCTTGCTTTGTTAGAAGCATGTTACAAGACCTTGAGACCAGAGGCCTGGCTTTGGTGAGAAGTATGTGATTAGGGACTGAAATAGATAAGGAGACTCCCTTGTACTCTTCCTTTAGTCCTAGCCAGGCTGTGGGAGGAATCCAACAGAGTGGACAACACCAGATGTTCCTACATTTGGAGTTATGTCAGGCTGTTTATTTAACAGTATAAAAACTGGACCCTCTTGCAGCAACTTCAGAGACCTCACCTACGAGTGGATGCACTGCGTAGGACTTCCCAATTGCCAGGACGGTTCTCCAGCATCCTCGCTGCAACAGGGGCTCCCCAGCGACTGTGGGTTTGGATGATGGTATTAGGGCGATCGGTGACGGATCTTTCTTAATAACTATTGCTAACCCTATATAGTAAAAATTAGGTGCATTACCCTGCTTGTTCTCCTTGCTGCTTAAAACTAGAGTGTAATAAGCTTGCATTGCCTTATTCTGGTAATACTTTGAAATAGTAAAATAAGCTGACCCTTGTGTTGGTGCTCGTGTCTTTTTCTGCGGAACCCCCCCTCCTCCCTCCCCAGGCCGGTTAGCAAAACACACACGTATGCTCATACTAGGAGAAACATAACTGGGACCAACACTACTGGTATTGCACCATCCTATTCTGAATCACCACACATCCTCCGTCTCTCCTTTTTCTTCTTCAAGTCTTCCATTAAAATATTCCAATCAAGAAAAAACAGGAAAAGAGTATAACTAATTGGGTTTCTTGTAACCAGGAACATACAATTCCCCAAAGCAAGCCATGCCTTCAAAGTAATGGAGAACATACGCTTTTCAGCACGCTGGTGCCAGGGAACCGGTTTGTGACGCAGCCTCTAGAGTTGCTGCCTGCACATCTTGCCCCACAAAGAACAGATTTGTTTCCTCATCCTTTTTGCTTGTCACACTTTCTACCCACAGCAAGTATGGGCAAAGGGCACTTCTCTCTCCGCTCCCCCGCACCCCAGAGAGGTGACAGTGATGAAGGTGAAAAGCCAAAGACACCTACAACACCTCCCTGCTTTCAAAACTCTAGTCCCCTCCAAAACACAGCATGTGGCTTTGCTTTGTTATGCATAAACCATAAAGGCTGTGCTAAGGCACCTGAGTAGTTTGGGTTTTGATTGGTTTGAGGTTTGTTTTTTTTTTTAATTGAATTCAGATACAGGTTCCACTTTTGTTCTGTGGCTTTTTCCACCATAGAAACGTACTGCCTGTGCTTCTATCTGCCCATCACCCCCACGGCCTCGCACGGGAAGATACGCTGAACATCATCTATGCCACCAAAGTAAAAAAATTGCCTTCGTACAAAGACTTGCCTTTTCTTCTGACTAAAACACCCTCACTGGTGATCTTTTCCAACACAAAAGCATTGTGCAGCTGAACTAAATCCTCACTTGGATTATTGAATTGTACAACTGATCAGCATTTCCGTATTACAGCTAAAATAATCCTTCCTGTAAACCACTTAGCCAAGATAAGTGGAGCAAGGGAACATTTTTATACCACTCTTCAGGAATGGTTGAAGCAAGCATTTAACAGAGCAACATATTTTTATTATTTATATCTCACAAACCTTTCTTTACAGGCTCATCACCTTGTAAAAGCTGTTTTAAGAATACAAACATATCCCACCTAACCACTGGCAAGTCACAGGCCCACATATATAAATTATTTTTGGAAGGCAAATTATACAGGCTAGTGTCTCACACATTTTAAATGCAGGATGGCCAGTGTCGCCTG